CGTACGTACGAGAGAGAGAGAGAGAGAGAGAGAGAGAGAGAGAGAAAGAGAGTGTATAATGCGTTATACAGGTACTCGACATGTAGCCACCTTCCTTTCTTCTGGTTAAATTCTTATTCCTAGGATAGATCATCTTGGATCTGTCTTGGACCAAACTGAGAAACGGGCCGTCGCTCCATTCGCATGCGATGCATAATAATGTAACACGTGCACTTACGTCGGTGCGGTTGCATCGAGAGACAATCCACCTACTCGTCTACCCAACTATCTAACTATCTACTTACCTATCTACCAATCACATCCCCGAGACAGAGTACACGTTCGTGCTGTAAGGAATGCTTTGCTGTCCGGACCTCTTGATAGCGAAGCGCCCTTTCTCGCTTACGATCAAGATCTGTAAAGGAGAGTGCAGTTGGTGAATAACTTTGTGAGTCCCAAAATAACCGCAATACAGTATTAATTACGAAGAACGTAATTTTCATATTAATTAAAGTGACGCTGTGTGATAATTTTATAAAAGAAATAAGATAAATAAAAGCATCAAAATATCATAATATCCTTTTACTAACTTGGTTATTTTTATTGATGTAAAATTATCCCCTTAATAAACAATTAAAGATTTAGTTAAAATTTTCTCAAATTGATAAATATTGCGAAAGAGTAACGTAATATCCTGATCCCGATTTCACTTAGCTTCAAATTTATCGTCAACCTAGAAAAGCTCCAGAAACGCAACATAAATTCTCTATATATGTCTTTCTTTTCTACTACATATCTGTCCACCGCTAAAACTCTGTGTGCATGTACGAAGCAGGATAAAGTGCTTAATGGAACCTATTGGCATTTGGTTAAAATTAATCATCGTCGCGAGCATCGATCCATATTTTATTCCAACCATTGTTATTTTAGCGCAGATGTCCGATGCCAAGAAGAAATTATTCGCAGCGCACTGTGCGTCTCCGGACAAGCGAATACCGCGAATGTCCGGCCAGTGTGGCGCCAGTCACACGTCGGTAACTTTATATCGCCGTCGCACGGCTAAGTACGGCACAGACGAGGAACGACATACCCGGTCACGACTCAACGACTAGTCCACCGATGTATTTATACGACAGGAGAGACGGGAGGGTGAGACCGGGGAGAGAGGAACGGGTACATCTGTTTCCATCCGGGCACGTGTCTACGGAATTAGAACGTTTCGACGGAGACGACGCGCGGCAGAAAAGACTCGTGGGACGACAAGCTAAACTGAGAATACCACCGTAGTCGCGGCCGCTGGACCGACGGATTCTGGGATGCCTCGTGGTCAGCTGGCGCGAACTAACAACGCGACCGGCAAACATGCTAGTTTATCACGAGAACAGTACACACTCAACTCGTGATATGTATATATCGCGCTGATATAGAGCTGATAATCTCTGTCGGCACCATTTGTCCACCTTTGAATCTCACTCCTATTTAACATTCCATATTCGAATCAAATCTGACTGTGACGTCGTTACGAGCATTTTTGATAATCAAATATTATGAATGAATGCGAGAAGACTGAAACATTGAAAAAATCATGTTGACAAATTAGTATAATTATAAGAATTATGTTAATATGTGTGAGAAAATTTAAAACGCAACGTATTTTAAAAATCTAAAACGAATATCGGTTGTTGTTTATAAATTTTTTACTAACTTAGTTATTTTTATTAGTGTGAAATTATCTCCTCCATAAGCAATTAGAGATTTAGTTAAAATTTTCTCAAATTGATAAATATTGTGAAAGAGTAACATAAGAACGTTAAGTGTAACTCGAGACAAATGTGTTTTAACACCGCCAAAGCCAACGACATAAAACGACGAGAACAACAACGCAGAAATTCACGATGCAATCGAGGTAACATGGAATTCACAGCGATGCGACTCCACTATGTGTCAGAAGGTGACAGAGATGCCAGCTGGACGTCGGCGCCGCGGCGTCGTCGCGCGCCGCGTCCTTGTTTTGTGAGTCGCGGCGACGCGTCACAACGCCGTCGTCGTTCGTCGTCTTTGCTGCGTGACACTCTTCGCGCATGACCACGCGACCAGACGAATGTGTGCAGGTGTTCCGCGGGTGGAATAGAAGTGATTTCGGGTCTCTAACGTTGTAGATATATAATTAGAGCATTTCGAAAAGCACTCGGCGCAGCCGCCGCGAGAGCCAGCTTTCAGTTTCTGACAAATGTCGCACAACTGACGCGGCATTCTCAACAGTAAACAGAAACATAGCTTTTACTACTAGAAAGAAGGCCAAAAAAAATAGAGGTGTGTTGTAGAAATGTGCTCTGATAAGAATGAAACAGAAATACAATATTTATTATAAACGATAACCTCAATATTTTCGCAGAGAGCCTTTTAGAGATGAAAAAAAAAACTTCGTAAGACGTAATTGTGAGTATTCGTCTTACAATAAATTTTAAAGTTTTGTAATGAAAAATAAAATAGATGCAACATTAAAAGGATAAACTCATGAGAGAAAAAATCTCAATATAAAATATAAAATCGTCAATAAAAAGCCCACCCATTGTTCATTAATTTATCAATATTAAATTTTGCAATTTATAATTAAAATTCTATGGTCCATCAATTATTATTAATATTCTATAATCCATTGATTATTTAAATATTCCACTCGCACTGTTAAATCAAATTGATTCGGTAATTTTCCAATCCTTGCTGCCTAGCTTTTCATTGACTACATATGGAACCAAGATAACATCCCAGGGGCAATCTGTTTCAGCTGAAAAGATCTGCACGTAGGCTGTAATTATTTATGCATACACGACGGACGATAAGTATTCATCAGGCCGAGTACCGTTCGTCTCGAGAGAGCAAATTCGCCGGTTCGTCTCATCCGGCTACCGGGCTGCAAACGTGGGCGAGACTTGGAGCCACGATCTCCGCGAGCATAAACCACATGGCACGTACGTGTGCGCGTGTGAGCGTGGCGCCAGATGCCGCGCCTCGTAATCTTTACGCCGGCCGGTCGCGCGAGACCCGACCCTTTCCCGCAACATCGCCCTCGCAGCATCGACCTCTCTCCCTCTCTCTCTCTCTTTCTCTCTCTCTTTTTATCTCGCTTCTTCTCCTCGTTCGTCCTGTGCCGCACTCTCGCAGCCTTTCTCGCGCAGTCTGCCTTTCGCGCGAAGAGACATTGGAACCGCGTATCGTGTTTCCATAGCCGCAACAATAATAGCGAGTTTATGCGCGACCAGCCACTGGTGTGGACGTTAGTAGCGACGCCGGCGAAATGCGCGCTGGCAAAATTGTCTTGACCCTAAAAGCGCGCGCCGGGATACGGGAAGACGCATTTATTTCGTTTTTTCGTTGAGGCTGTCGCGCGTATGACGCGCATTTCTCTCGAGTGTTTGTTTTAAAGAAATGAAAAAACTAAAATGGTAATTAAACGTCACGGTATTTGGTAGACCTAGCATACGTTTAATTAAATGGCTTACTGCAAAAACATGCAGGTTTTCATCAAGAAAAGATTCTAAAGATAAAAAAAAGATGACGACAGTTGCGGGACACCCAGTATGACGCGACGTAACGACTCGAAGGATACCAATTGCCAGAAAGCATGAAATTGCATTAGTCACCGCGTTTAACGTTCACATCTGGCCGTGGCGTAATGAAAATAACAACTCGGAACCTGGCGACAGTCGTTCGCGCGTGCGAAGCGCATGAATTATTATTTTAATATGTCGATATATGCGAGTCTTGCGAAATTTGTGCGATGTATGCAATTGCACCTGGCACGCTCATTTGCATCTAATAATGACCAGTCAGTCTTCCGTGAAGCATCCCACTTGGCTTGTTGCAATCTGAATGACGTATCGATTTCACATAACTTTGATAGATTTCTTGTTGAAAAATTAGCCCAAAAATATTTTTATAAAATTTTTTATACTTTTAATACTCTTTTAAATTGACACAATTAACCACTTAATAATAATAAAAAGACGATGTAATTTTCAATTTTAATTAAAATTGAAAATTACTTTACAAAAGTCAACTTTTGTAAAGTGTGAACGCAACTTTCAAATCAGATTATGCTAACAAGCAACGTGACAAAATTCGAAACGGAAGAAATGGAGCATCATAATGTTTTACGCAAACGTAAAACATTCGTCCTTTTCTATCAACGTCACGGACTGACGTTACTTATTCTCTTTGCTAGGAGAATCGACATCTCGGCCGTCGATTCACAGCGGCGAACGTCCTCGTAAAAACTCAAACGGTTCGCCGGCTTGGATGAAGAAATTATGAGCTTGCGTATCTCCCGCGGAAGGCTCACATCTATCGCGCACCTCCTACATCTGTGCCGAGCGATCTCACTGTGAGTCAGCGAAAACGTTAAGGACGATTCCGCGCGATCGACACGCGAATGCCCCATAAACGTCTCGTTTCTCAATGACGCGTGAATCACAATTGCGGCGTAATAACAGCCGCGCGTACGATGAAGAAAGTATCGGCAAAGATATCGAGACGCGAGCTCTGTCGCCTCGCCGGGATACCGGCCCTTAAATTAACATTTACGAGATAGGTATCCTTCCCGGAATCGATCGGACCGCTGGCTGCAGAAGCTTGTTTCGAAGGCAGGGCCTGAGATCGCCTACCGCTCTCTCGTCGCCAAGACGAGGTAACCACTGATCTCCGCACGCTAACGAGAAAACAAGACCATTAGGGCCAATGAGCCGACTCGATTATCGATTATCACGATCGATGGAGAAGTTGCGAATCCTTGGGAGATAAAAAAAATCGTCCTTTAATCTTCAGATCAAATGTTTTGCTGTCATTCGGAAAAGCCTAAACCTAACCTAATATATGCAGAATAAAATATTTTCAGAATGATTAGACTCCTATTTAATTTATTACTTCGTGATTGAAATTCAAAATTAAATAGCAAGTTAAAATTTGGTCCGTTGATTATAATTTTTGCAAAATTAATCGAACGTAGCATTCGTTTTCAGCACTGTTGAGTTGCAATATTCTTTTCAAGGTGCAATATAAAATATCAGCCTGCGAGTAACGCGACGACTGGCTGCAGGCATTCGGTAGCATTGGTCGTCGGACGTGTTCACATGACGACGATAAACGCCTTCGCAAAGTCGTGTTTTTTTTTTTTTGTCTTCCCGCGTGCATTACCTAGCGGCTCTTTCCTCTCACCGGTATCTCTAGTTCTCGGGCTCGCTTCCAGGAACGATTCGGTGGGAGAGATTATCTCGTTTGCACGAAGTTTTCACGCTACACGTGGGCATCCTCCATCCGTGGAAAGGACCGAGGCCTATCTTTCGGAGGATCGGCGGGTGACGTTCGCGGTACGCGTAACATGATAACCCACAGGACCGTGAAAGGTACCGCAATTGG